GCAAAATTCAGCGGCCATTTCTCACCCAAATCTCCTGATTTACTAGTAGATGGCTCTAGCAGTCAAATCTGGATTGAGTAGAAATTGTGCAGAGGCAGTGGGCTGGTCACGCACTACTCACAAATGCACACTTGAAAGACTAAGAAACCTCTGAAAAGGAGGTGGCAAAAACCCACAACTGGGTTGTAGAGCCAAGAAACAACAACAAAGTTTCTCCAATGGGGTAATACTTTAATCTAGTTAGTTACATACAGTTAATGGCTAGCAGTATTAACATGTGAACAGCCATCAGCTCATTTATGCAACGTACCAGTCTCCAGAGATGGAGTAGGATGGGGTCAGCAACCTTTTCATGAACATGAACTGCATTGCTGCTGGTGGCATATACACAGCTGCAAACTTAATTTTGAAATTATGTTAAAATTTGTCATGTGTACACGATATGCAATTTTTAGTGACTACACAGTATGGCTTCCAGCAGACAAAGAGGCTCTTACATACAGCTGATTGTTTCACTGGATCTCACAGCTGACAGATCATGCTTCTTACAGAGACCCACTGCAGTAGCCATTATTTCTGGAAACACATCAGATTTGCTGTAAAGGGATAAAACCAAAAATATATAGAATGCAATTTATGAATAAGAAATGGTTGGTACAAATGATGAGCTGGCATACAAATAGTAAATAACAAAAATAATAAACTTCATATAATATATTTAGGGGACTATATAGAGAAAGTTACACATAAAAAATAATATTCAGTACACCAAAAAACCAGGTGCTGGCACAGTAGCAATCATTTGTCCTGAATTAGTTCATAACATTGTTTATATGCTGGAAATGTTGAAATTTCTGAAAATCCTTGAAAATATACAAATGAGGAACTTTTCATTTCTAAAGATTCTAAAGACTATTACAAATGTTTTGGAAGTTCACAATATCTTTAAACATAAAAAATTATTTCCTTGAGATTTCGAAAAATTTTCAATATTTGATGCTTCGACATTTTTCAAAATTACCAACATCTAAAAATCTACATAGCCTTAAAAATGCAGAAAATAAAGATTTTCATTCCTTTTAATCTGTTGTGCTAGGTTGTCATTAGTTGGGTTGTGTGTGATTTGGCAAGGTACTCTTGGGGTGGGCCTATGTCAGGCCAATTTTATTTTAGATCAGGTTTACTCAGGTATGGACAGTTTTCAACAGGTTTTGACTTCTCTAGGCAGGCTGAGGATAAAGTTATTGAAGAAGTGGAAACAACCAAATATTTTGGACTAAAATTGACAATAACTTAAATTAGAAAAAACATATTCAATATATTATCCCTATACTAAGCTGAGCATGCTTTGCTATGAGGACTATGACATCACTCATGAAAACAAAATCTTTTTGTCTACTTGGCTTATTTCCATTTGATCATATCTTATGAAAGTATTTTCTGGGGAAACTCAACAGACAGCAAAAACTTATCTTAAGAAATTTAACATTTATCCAGTAGCCAGCAAACTTTTGCTCATTATTATCCTTTGTGGTAAACACAGAAAAAATTTCAAATTCAGATATCCACAATATAAGTACAAGATACAGATACAACCTTCACATGCCAAAGACTAAACTCAGAAAATATAAAAAAGGAGCTTACTATACTGGCATTTAGCCATTCAATAATTATTCATTTCAAACGAGGGTCACTCAAAATGCAATGCCTTCATTTTTTAAAATCAATATTTATTCTATGGCATTGCTATTGACACATTTTATAGGTACATACTATAGGAGGGAAATTCTCTTTTTCCACATAATCACCTCCACTCTCACCTGCTTTGTTTTCCACCTATTAACAACTGCTTGTATACAACTCAGGACCTGCACTTCACTCTTCCCAAACAATCGTTTAGCCCAACGACCAACAGTGCTGCGATCGACAGCATCATTCCGATACACTTTCTGCAATCGATTGTGGATGTTCCTCACTGTCTCGTTCTTGCTTCTGCTGGATATCAAGTGCAGCCACCATTTTGAACGTATGATATAACAACTCCACTAGCGGGAAGTGAATGAACTAAGTACAAACAGAAGCGGGAAGAACATATAAATTTAAAAACGCAAAGCTGTGGAATAAAATGTTTTTTTTTTTAAATGTGAGGCATTACTTTTGGAGTTGCCATCGTATCTAATCATTCATGTAGACCCTGATAATTGCAATGAGGGCACTTAATTAAGACACAAAGGCAAAAGTTCAGTTACAGAATGTGTACGAATGTTTTGTTTGTTGCCTTCAGTAATGATGTTTTAACCTTATTGGCCTCTGATTGAATAGCAAGGAGATGGAACTCACTTCTGAAGTGATGTGTGCAAAGGGTAGGATTCCAATTGATCCAATTAATGTAATGTCGAAGATGACACAGCTTACGGAGACGTTTGAATCATGGTGCTTCTCAGTTTCGTTTTTCACATAGGTAAGGAATACAGAAGGCATATGGAAAAATCTGCACTGTATGCAGTTGACCTTGAACCACAGATATTTTCAGGATGGGTCTGCCATCTTTTTTTTTAATGTGTCTAGCGTTGACCTTGAACCACAGATATTTTCAGGGTGGGTCTGCCATCTTTCTTTTATATGTGTCTAGCACATATATGTATGACCTCTTCAGCTTTTGCCTGATGCACTTCCCTTTCCTACACTGATTTACATGTGCTGCAGGAGACTGCGACTAATGCAAACTCCTGACCATCTGTGTGCAGATTATTTGTGTGAGACCTTTTTACATATATAAATGCAGACATATTTTAAATATGCTTTTGACATCTTTTCCGCACTCACTTGGCTAGTGAGGATCTACTAAAGATATCAAAGAAGAATAATACCTTTCTATCCATGCTTGCTGCCTCCATCATCAGTGTGACGAAAGCCCTGATGATGGAGGTAGCAACCACCTCTGAAACAATGGTGAACTTATACCACTACAACCCAGAAGACAGCCATCTTTGTGCTCACCGCTGTGAGAACTTAAAATCGTACTTTTTAACAAATGTTCTTGTATCCATAATCTGACACCGTTAAGGAAAATTTCAAGGAATTTTGAAGGAACTTATTTTTACTTCTTTTTAAGGACTATTTTATTTGTTGTGTGTAGACTAATATTGCAGGAAACAACACAGTTTGAATGAAACAAAGAGTATTCATTCATATTTGTTTTTACACAAGGCACTGTTTTTCACAGGACAAATTTTGTTACAAATAGTACCGATGCGTGAGATCACACTGAATACAAAGTACCGCCTCCAAAATTTCTCATGGGCATATTAACATTATGTGTGCTAGTTCACAGAACTGAGTTATTTCTATCCTTGACACAAAATCAAATAATATGTAACAAGTTACTGGAATCGCTCATTTACCCGGTTAAATAAATCTGCACACTCGGGAAACAATTGACGACTGTCACAAACACGAAAGCAGTGTGGATGAGGTGAAACTTAATCGAGTTGCGGAGGTTGCCAAGACTTTACATTTTCAATGTGATCTCACCATAATTATTACAGATAGTAACATAACACATTCTTTATTTACAATGACTTATTGCACATAAATATTGTGATTTCATACTTCTTTTTCAAAAATATTTATCTGTCTGGCATGAATGACAGTTTTTATTTTTTTACACTGGCGTGATAATTTACAGTGTTGGCCCACGTATACATTGTCATTGGCTTCCAAAATGGCCTGGAATATATGATTTACTCTCATCCTTTTGTACAACGCAGACATCCCTTTTCTGCAAGTAATAGTCTCATTCCGTTTCCTACCATTTTATTTCCGGTCTATCGCGGGAAACGATCCCTTAGCATCGACATCATTACCAACCCAAGAAAAGCAATGAACAGGCATGAACACGTGAACTGGTGTCACTGCCAATGGGAATACTCTCAACTCCGTTAACACAACAGCTGTTTTACTTTACTGAAGTTAAAGAATAACCAAGAGAATTAAGTAAACGTTATGGTACATTACATCCAAAGACTGAAATGTGGCCATCAAGACAGAAAATCATAACAAGCATCCACTGAACTGCACCAAAGCTGAAATTCTGTGGCCGCAGACAGAAACTGAGACAGATCCGAGTCTTAGCATCAGGACGACGCGTGTGATTCGGAGAAACGCGCTTAAGCAGATGCAGTAAGGAATGAACACATTAGGGTACAATTCTGATTTCTGTCTTTAACAATATCTCAAGATATTGTAGATGCGTCATATTGTGAATTAATAGTATTAAAATATTTAAAAATAACCGTCAATCACAATAAAATTAAAAGATTAAAATATCATATTACGTTCCCTATCGAGTACTCGATTTACATATGGAACTTACACAACATGTTTCGGCTATATATAGCCATCATCTGGTGTTTTGTATATAAACTTTTCACTGAATTACTTTAAAGGATTTTTAATGATATTTTAATCTTTTAATTTTATTGTGATTGACGGTTATTTTTAAATATTTTAATAATATCTCAAGAGTTTCTAAAGGTTTGTGAAAACAGTGATTACATTTGGCATCGTCCGTCTGCAACAGATTTAACGTATCGACATTTCAAAATGCCATGCATATTAAACAGACAATCAATCACAGTGCACTTGATTCTCATATATAACTTATACAATTAAAGATTCTATGTAAAATATTATGCTTCTTTACATATGTGCTCACAGCATCCCTTAAAAATACAAAATTTCACAATGAATAGAATCGCGTTAACAACGAAACACAGGAAGAGTGAGTATGAAGACTCAGATTTATTACTGACCAGTCTTGAAGATCATGAAGGTGGTCACCAAACCCAGGCAGAGGGCAGCAAAGAATATCAACTATGATAATGCCATTTACGTCATAAAACATAACAAAAATAATTTCAATGGATGCAGTTATTTTGTCGCAGGAAAGTCAATATTTTTCTTTACTTCATTGTCATAAATAACTTTCTCCATTAATGTGGGCAAAAATATGTTAACAATTTGCCTGTGGGGGGGAGCAGTCTGCACACGCGGCACGCGATAATCCAAACGTCGGACATCACGCAGATTTGCAGATGATTCTTTATTCTAAAAATTCAATTGTGAATGGCAGACTTGTTGCATTTCTGTAATTTAACACAAAAGATGTCATACACAGCATCGCAGACATCAACACCATTACTGTTACATTTTATCATGTTTCTGAGGTGCATGTTTCTACCTAACACTGAAGTCATCTTCAGGCTCTTCCTTCATGCTTAGATAAGTGAAAAGTGTTGTCATGATCAAAAATGCAGACCACACACGTACAATTCTCATAATTCTCACCAATTAACCATATGAGAGTCAACACATAAAAATATAAATTTATTTAATTAAGACATGATATTTGACAGCAGAAATTTGTATTTTATTTAAATCTTATATCTTACAATAATGAATAAGCTCTCTCCTCACACACACGGGTGTTCGTTATCCGAGGTAATCATTACAGCAGTGCCCATTCCTACGCACTCTTTGCACGACATGAACACGTATAGGGCTCGTCTTGTCTGTCCGCGTGATCGTCGATGAGAACTGCTGCATGGATTCCATAAGAACATGAAGCCACAATTGGCAATACAAACGTGACTGTGCCAGTTTCAGTGGGGTCACACAATGAGGTGTAATCACGGATTTTCAGAAAATACACGTTGTGGCGTAGTAAAATAACAAGAATTTTACTTTACCAGGATTTGATCTCGTGGCCCCACACGTGTCAGTCGAGCATGTCGGCGCCTGTTCATTTACAATACTCAATGAAGAATTTAATAATGAGGTAACTTTTGTTAATTACACTTTTCCAGTCTTGCTTGGAAGATCAGCTTTTGGCGATGAAGACGCAGCTAAACAATTATCCTTACCTGTTGCGTTACTGAACTACGCCTCACTGAATTCAAAAGGCAGATCTTCCATAAGAAAATAACTTATCTGTAAATGGTACTGATGACTGTGTAAAAATATAAACTTAAATTTTTTGGACGTTTTCAATCGTCACTATGCTCCATTCTGCAGAAGCCCAAAAATTTGAAATTAGTTCGCAAAAAAGACATCCGCAAGAAGTGAACACCGTAACAATAAAATAAGAGAATTCACAATTACCACAGACAAAGAGTTCCATGTGGGAAGAGAGAGCTGATTTAACGACGTACTTGTTCAACCAAAAGCAGAAATACAGATTGATTCTGTGAAATAACATTTTAATGCAAAAAAAAATGTGCATTTTTATACAATGACAACTGTAATTTGACAATGAAAATTTGTTTGAATTATAGAAATTGTTTTATCTGCAGTTTTCAATTATGTAAGCGTAAAACCCCGAAACATAACACATTAAAATGAAATACGCTGTTCCTGTGTGTAACGTTCCCCTTCATTAAAGGTTCCATTGCTGTTGTGGGTAAAAGTAAAAGGAGAACTGTCACCCCAGAAAGCAAGAAGTGAACACTCGACCACAAGCGCAAACTTGTATACTACAAGATGTAAAGTGATTGAGGGGCAAAAAGGACCGGTGACCGCGTGATTTCTGCCGTGGCCTCATAACGAAACGTGTCAAGAAGCCCAGAATGAAGTTTGGTTTAGAATAAAGGTTATGAATTACAGTCATTGAACAGTCGCTCCACATAATTATCAAAATGAACAAATCTTGAAACAAGAAAATGAATTTTATGGAGAGTTTTTGAAGTTTAAATTCTGATCTTCCTCCCCAGCATTTTAATGTACTTAAAAGTTCTAAATTGATTGTTACAGCCGCAGTATCATCCATATTAATAAATCTTGCTGTGCAAATAAAATATTTAACTGCCTCTAAACTTTTGAGTTCAGATTCTTTCTCTCCATCCACAAGAAACGATTATCCTCTCATGAGACTTCAACTATCTCCGCAGTACGATAAGAGCGAAGATCTTCCATCAAACCGCGAGTAACAGAGGAGTTTCCGCATCACTTTAAGCGAGAGGTGATGATGTAATTATCCGCTGCCTCTGGATTGCATAGAATTGGGCTAGTTGCTGGCCAGACGCTAGAAAACTGTGCCCAATTTGTATTTCACATGTGCAGTGACAGAGCATGACTTTTCAAAAGTGGAGTGCCATGAAGACTTTGGCAACCGAGTACATACATCATACTTCATCTCCCATGATACACAAGCCACAATTACATTGAGACAAATGCGATACAACGCAAGTTGGCAGTTGAGGTCCGACCACCACCTCAGCTTCAAAGGCTACGCTAAAATGTGCCGGCGAGATGCGTCTGTTGGAGCTGAGCGGATATGAAGGAGCACTGGACCAAAAAAGTAAGACATTTCATTTTTTCAAAGTGTTAGCTAGGCTAACATGGCTAACACGAATGCTCTGCCCCTGGGCATGTGAATGCCTAAATACTAATTTCATGCTCATAAAATAATAGAATATGCATAAACACGTAATTCGACATCAGATCCAAATTGACAGAGACAGGCCAATACATTTTATGCATCCTGCGCTATCGGCTTCCGCGTTCAGAGGAGCGGCTAAGAATCGTTGGACGCGGCTACTGGAATTCTTAAATGAATATCAACAGAACCCAAGCAACGAGTTTGCTTTACATTACGAAGCAAAACGTGTTATTTAAAAAAAAAAATATAAGATTTGCATCATCAGGATTTAGAATGCTGGACTGCGTCTGTACCTCTCGACACTCTTTGCTGTTACTGGGAGGTTTCTTTGAATGGCAAACTGAGGGCAAAATGACAAATAAACTGTTTTTGACTCAATCTTTTGCCACTTTGAATGTGGCTGAAAATGTTTTCATCCCTCGAACGAATACAGAATTACTTTGCTCTCGTTTCCCCAACTGATCCCAATGAAGTTCACTGTTCCTAGTCTCATCACCATCATTTCACGGAATGAGAGGTGCAATGCAGAATCTGTTGCTAAAGAACGAAGCCGCGACTGAGGTCGTAATGTACGAATGCCCACTCAGAGGCAGAGAGCAGCAGAAGACGTGCTCTTAAGGTGCATCACAGTTTCAATTTCGTGGTTAATTTATGCCAACAGATGCTTTTATGCTCAACGTCATATTACACTTTTGCCTGAACCTGAATCAGTACAAAGAGAAGCGAATACAATTTATCCCTGGTACGTACACGCACCATCAATTTGTAAACTTTGGCAAAACTTGGGGCAGTGAACAATTCCACTGACAGAATTCCTGTTCATTTTAATCAGGCAAGCGAGAACTTCACATTTCATCAAATAACTAAACGTTATCCTAAGAAAGTAGTTTCCTACAATGTACACTGTTTATATATAATATTTATATATTTAAATTTAATGTATAATACATATATATATACTATCTTAATCATTTCATATATAAAATAACTGAATTAACTCTTCAACGAGTCGTTACCTTCATCCACAGTTGACCAACGTCCCTCTTGGTAAAATTCTGTCGTGCTTTGCTAATTACTATGAGATTCTAATCAAGATCCACTTTCAGCGGTGACCAAACCCAGGAACTCACACTTGCCACGTCCCTCCAACATCAGTGCAAGTCGAAACTCTTCGACGCCCAAGATCTCCCAAGGCGCAGACTTCAGTTGCATTTCTTTGTACATTTTTGGGTTCTTAATTATCCACGATCTTGGTTTGTTTCGACGCCTCTCTCCACCCGAAAGTGGTTTTGCATTCAAAATGCAATTTAACACAAAAATATTAACAAATGTAACACAATTTTTTGATGAGTAGAAAAACTAAAATACAAGACATTCTCACAAGCAAAAATAATATATAGAGCCTCCTTCCGCTCCTGTCACTCGACGGATTCATCACGATGAGAAAACGACCACACAGTCAGCAGCCTGTGCCCTGCACAGAGGGACATTATTTTTTATAATAATTATAAAAATGACGAGAGGACGAGAAACGAAGACAGGAAATCTGTTCGGCTTAAATTGCGAGCCTGCGGTCTGGGACTTGGGCAGAGATCTTCGCCTCCTAGAACGAGAGAAGAATGAAGCTCCTTTCTCCTCGCAATTTCGCCGCAGAGACGCTCAAACACAAATCTCGGCTGTGAATTAGCCTCGACATTTCTTTCTCATTATTCTGGAATATAAAAACGCCCAATTTTGGATGATGACTGCCATGGTCCAGTTACTCTTTGGATCGATGTTTTAAACCGTGCATCAATTCAATAACTGGAAAATTTTTGCGATGAGAAAGAGACATCTGCTGATTACGTGCAAGATATTATCTCCACTTGTTTGCAAGTTCTCGCTGTATAAGGAAAATGACTAAGAACTGACCTTGAGGTTTCTGTATTTCTTTAACACTTGCACTCACTTGGTCATCCCGGAGTACACAGCCGCAAGGACGGATGGCAAACCAAGAACGGCAGAGACGAGGACTGAGGAGGAACCGCTCATCACCTGCACGGCGCAAGCAACACCTCCAACCAGCACGGACATGCCGTGATCTCCTGCCGCGAATACTTTGACCCCCAGCCCTTAGCAAAACTGATGCGCACCGAGTTGGGATCTACGGGGCCCGTGGTGGCGAAGTCCCAGTGTCGAGCGCACGCTGCCTTGTCTGCGTCGAAGATGTTGAGGCAGTGGCCTGGAAGAACTCGACACACCGGAGGTGGTCTTGAGTCAGGATCAACCAGTGTCGGAGAGTTGACGAAGATGGGGCTGTCGGAACGGTTGTACGCCCACACTCCATCTTCCTCTTGGCTTAGCGTCACGCCTGAAAACCAGAATACGTTCTACTCACTTAATCACAACGAGAAGAGAGGACGAGGTAACTCAGACTGGATTCAACTGGCTCCAGTGGTGGGCTCTTCGGGTGACCTCCTGAGACAGCAGATGGCCTACTTTGCATTCACTACTTACCGAGACCTATTTTGGCGCGTGTCCTGCGGACGGACTCGTGGGGTGGGTCGTCCTCCGTCAGCGCGGCAAGACACAGGCCGTCGCCATGAGGTAGTGAAGTGAACACGTTTACTGCCGGCAGCTCCACCGAGAAGAGGCGGCCAACTCGCGACGCCAGCTCCCAGTAAGCCAGTTTGCACCACCCCCGCTCCCCCGCCTCTCCTGAAATTTCACAGAATATTTATTTCAAGCAGCGCCACTTGTAATGCGGGTCCCAACTGATCCCTGAATCGTCCGGATTCATCGAAATACACTCAAGTAAGACGACGCGTAGGCAATGGCAGGGCACAAGACGAACAAGACTGTCCTGCCACCGAAACAAAATTAATTTTGTGCTCGAACCCACTCACTCGTGGTAGATCTGAGATCGCAGTGCATCCGCCGTTGTGAGAGCCCACGGGAGTCACAAGGGGATCATCGCAGCCAGGCGACGCATCTGCTTTGAACACAGTTCCCAAGCTCAACTCGTTTTAACAGGACGAGCCAGCACGGGTCGCGGGCCGCGAGTTTCCTGGACACTGCTATTTTCAGTCCTTGCGGAAGCCACCTGCCCGTTACGACCTTCACCCTGACGCCGACAGCCACCCAGACAACGTACGCAGTGGAGTCGCGTCTTCTACTGCCAGTCCATAATCGATCACTTCACAATCTCGAACATGCAATCGTCCGGAACGACCCATTTCCTTACTCCGTGTTGCAACCGGCCGCACCAAATCAGGTTCCCGGAAGACCTGCGCGTTTCTCTCGCGCTGAAAGGACGTACGTAAAAACACGGATGGACCCGGGGCACAGAGCCAAACGTCCAGCCATCCTCCGCTTCTGACGGTGTTGAACCAACGGCTCGGGACCACATCAGTGCAACAGCGACCTCTGGAATTTCTTGCGCACAGAAATACTTGAAAGTGTGTGAATCCGTTCGCTTCACCAAATGTCATCGCAATGATCACGTTAAGGAGGATGAGATGGACAGGGTTTGTGATGAAAACCGCGAAGACGGCGGAATAATATTAAAATGAATATCAGGAAAATACGATCGGAGGTTAGGTTAGGTTCATGTGGCTCTGCGAACCTTCGATCTGCATCAAAGGCGGGGAATTTCTGAACTGCCTTATCGACTTACTAGCTCCACGGAGATACTCAGTTGCTTCCTTGATTGGCTGGTTGGTGAGAACTGACGTTTGATAGTCAAACAGGAAAACGACCAATAAGACCATCCGAATTAGAAGACAATACAACATTTTATTTACATCAACTCAACGTCGGTCATCCCACCTGCCTCAAGACTGAGGAGTTGGAAGCCTTTCTAAGACGCCTTGGTTCTTGCGCTGAAATATTGAGAGAGTTTGCGCGCAATGAAGACAAAGAAAACTTGTATCGTAATTTGGGAGATTTTATAATACGGGATGTAACATATTATAATGGTGTGCTTTTCTCTATAAAAACATTAAATCTTTATTTTCTATTTATTTGTTAAAGCCTGCCGAAATCGCACATTCGCGTTACCGCAGTCACGTGTTGTTCTGCAGTGCCGGAACGCAGTTCCCGGTACCTGGAGGCACAGGACGTCGAAACCCTGACTTCCGATTTTCGCATCGCAAGACGAAGCAGTTCCTGCTCCTGACATGCAACGAACCATTCACGAGAGACCAGCAAGGCTTCCCAGAACTAAACCAACAGGTTCCAGTTCAGTGCCGGAAACATCTTGGGAGTTGTACATACGTGCATTTGGGAGCAAAAACTCCCAGCATGCAACGCAGCCTCCGCAACAGGATCTTCTACTTCTTCTTCTTCTCATGCCGCAGACCATCCGCCACTCTTGACTGCCGTTAGGACGACAGCGCCGGGAACGGAACCCAATTTCCACATGATCTGTTTTAATATTATCCTTCCATCTACGCCGGGATCTTCCGAGTTGTCTCTTCACTTGAGGATTTCCAACCAAACTATATTCGCGTATCTCATCACTCCCGTGCGTGCTACATGTTCCGCCCATCTCATCCTGCTCGATTTGGCCACAGGCCGCGAAAATGACCTGCACGAACACCGGGGAAGTGTCTCGCGGACTACCACTGCCCGGGGGCCGCTTGATGGACTCTTCTCAGGAGGTCCCTGCCCCTCGCGTAGCACTGGACCGAGATCTCATTCCGTCTGGTCTGAAAAGCTTCCACTGGTCTATCTCGGTTTCTCGTGACTGTACCAATCCGTTTCTCTCCTCTCATCAGGAAGGTCTTCTGGTGTTGACGTCAACCCTCTCAGTACGCCGCCCGGAGCTCCGGCCGGCATCCTCTTCTCTGCTGAAGAAATTCCTATGTTTCTCTTTCGTGTGGCACGCACACCAGCGAAGGCGCTTTTGGCAAGGACCACGGGCTCACAGCAAACACAAGCAACGCCCGTCCTTACGAAACGGGCAAACTTGCCCCCCCGCCCCAACCCAGAAGTTACGCAAGTCCAAATGACTAATTGCACTAGGAATGCGCGACCGCACTTCACTAAAGCCGAAACTTGTGATGAAGCGGAAAGAACGAGAGAGAATTTCCAGAGAACAGAAGCAACCATCGGCTAACGAAACTTCAAGGGGAAATCCCCTCTGCGATGTCACATCACGTGACATGGATCATCGACCTTGCCCCTCCAAGGTTTATATTATGTGATAAGCTGGCTTCGTGCAAGAGGGGCTGAAGTCTACTCCAGTTATCAGAAGATCCATTGAACTTGGCGATGGGATTTGGGTTCATTTTGCAGGCACGTCTTTGACTGACCAAGTCACCGCGCCCGCCTCCTCCACTGTTTTCATTACGTGACATGGGTCAATGATCTCGTGAGTAAAATCTGTACGCGAGTTATAAAACACAATTTGTTCCTCTGCACGAATCGGGTCCACTATTCAGAGATTCGTCAGTAACAAACACGACTAAAAATTGCAGATTCGCTGTACATTAAGACTGCGTGTATGAAATGAACTTTCTTCAGTCTGCATAATAATGGGAAACCAAAATCTTCCAAAATTAGGAAGTGGTTTCTCCAGAGCGTTTCAATGTCTTTTCTGCCCACAACGTAATTTATCGTTTGAAACGCACTGGGGAGAGACACCCAACACCCATCTCCCGCTCCAGGAGAAATGTCCTTCCACTTTCTCCCGCATTCGCACGCACATCGGCCATCTTGCGACTGGTCGCAGTCCCGAAAGAACTGAAGCCCACAAACGCAACGTGGCCTTTCTTTTCCACCGCATGAAACGATGTCAGTGACGAGGACTCCGGAGTATATGAAAAAATAACCAGGTCAACGGAGCCTGCGAAACAGATCTAAGACCTTCTTCCACTCAGGAAGATCACGTAGCGAAAACTTTGGAATGGGGGGGGGGGGTCAATTTTTTTCGGCCAAAGACGCGCCTGCAAAATTAACCCAAGTCTCATCACACAGCAACTTCGACCAACCCCTTGAACCAAGCAATGTTTATACAATATGAACAAATTTGAGAGCGGGGGGGGGGGTCAGTGACCCTTGTCACGTGACGTGGCATTGGAAAGTGAGGTAAGTCCACGGGGCACACGAAAAAAGGATCACAAACACACGGACAGCTGCACCGGAGCACTTGAAATGGGTGCCTCGAATTCTGGGTTTCGTTCCTCCAAGCTCCTGGAGAAAATTCCGGGACACACCTGAAATTTCTATTTTGCATAATCATCGGGGTACTTCTTTTTCGAAACACACAACTCATGGCGACATGGTATCGTTAAATACATTGCGGTAAAGACAGATGGCACTTCAAACGTCCAACTGCATGTTTCAAGGTCACGGAACAAGTTCCTTTCTCCGGCCGCGCGGCTCCGTGTCACCAGCACAGCGTCGCAGGCGAGTTGCGAGCCGTCTTCGCTCCGCTGTTCGGTTCAATTGTGCTCCGACGTCTCCCTGCCAGTCGAAAGTTCCTCCGGCATCATCGACCTTTTCTGACTTTGTCAGCGGCCCTCGTAGGATTACCGCTGCGCGCTCCTTTTGCAACAAGTACCACGTATTTTCGCCGGAACCCCGGAAGAGAAACCTGTCTTTCTTTCCCCTCAATTATTTATTTTTCATTGAGAGAAAGCCAAATCAAACCCAGCCCACATTTTGGGAAACAGTTTAAGTTGCGCTCGGGTGACGCGAAGGCTCGGTCATCTCGTTAAGGAGGAAAAGTGAGGTTTGGTTTCGGAAAGCCGTGTCTTGACGTCGCGTTCCGCATTCGCCCTGTTTCGGTGTTTCGTTCCGCTGCCTTCATAACGTTGCTCCGCACAGACCTTGAGACGGAAGTGGAAGTAGCTTCTTCAGAGCTGCACTTGAAAAACGTCCGGGAAGCCTTCCTTGAGACGAGCCCAGCAGCCAAAACGGGGGAACGTTTGTATCTGCTGAAACGTCAGTTCTTCGCGCAGTTTCTACTTAATTGCTCAAAAATTGCTCTGTCGAAATAAATGTTTCACTGTCACTTACAGACCCCATCATCTTCGAATGAACTTCGTCACTTATTTGAAAATGCATTTCATTACAAGACAATCATTGAGTGTCGGAAAACTTTCTGGTCATTCTTTCAACGCATGTCAGAAAGAAACTACTCCATTTTCGCAGACAAAATGAGAGCTGGAAGAGGAGGTCAACACTGAACAATAAAATCTCTAAAAGAAACGCAAAAACCGCTCTGTGATACGCACCGAAGGCCTGATTTAAAAAGAAAATGGCGATATTCACCTCGTTCGACGACGTTTTCATTCCGTCTGAAGTCGTTCTCGCAGCCAGAGCCCTGCGCCATG